GGTTTTATGCCGCATTCAGGATGGCAAGATGGCGGCCCCCATATAGTAAATAATTAATTAATTTTATTGTTACGTATGCGCCAGCTGACTGTGTTTACACTGTACTGATGTCATATTATTACGTATATATCAAACCATGGACGTACTAGAGATCTCTAGTACGTCCATGATCAAACAAAGCTACGTTCTCACACGTCTAAAAAAACGCCGGTGTTAACACTGTTTTTTGGTTGTGCAAATATTAGATAATCTGCTGAATTGTCTGCTCGCATTCTCACTTAGTGAAAACACCAGGTGTTTGAGGATTGAATGCTGGCCTTCCACCTAATATTTCGTGTAGTTCATCCCAAAATGGCATAGTTTTCGGATCTCCACCGCTTCTGTTGTTGTGCTCAGATCTTCCGTTGACATTGTAATGACATCCTGTCCAACCCCTTTTCAGCCGCTTTTTCTGCAATCACAGCATATACTCTAGCATCCCTAGACGTTCCGTCCATCATTCTTTAAATATTCGATTCTCTCCATACAGATATCAGTATTTTCGTTTCTTCGTCTGACAGTTCGACATTCGAAACCGCTGACGCCATCTTGTGTAATAAATAAGCATAAATAAGTCGGAGATAGAGGGCGTTTTGCCTTCGTATTGTGTTCACATGGCACATTGTGTTATGAAAGAGCCGGTGTGACAACGGAGTTTAGGATCTGGTCCGCCGCTTTTACGACGGTGTAAAAACCGCCGACGCCACAACGGCGTATTCTGTTCACAAACACATTTTAACAACGTTCTCAAATAAAAAGGCGTTGTGACAACGGCTTATTTCATCCAGTGAGAACACCACTCAAGTTGCAACTAATAAACTCAACAATATTTATTAAATTCAAAATATTCAGTTTGAAAAGAATGTTTATGATCCCTTTGCTAAATAGAAGAATCCTACTCTTCAAAGAAAATATCTAAAACTTACCTAAATGTCATTTTATACTTGGATTTTATACATTGATTTCCGCTAATAACAAGTCTGAGTCAAAACAAGGGTAGAATGGTCATCACCACCAAGGGTGCTATAAGTTCACATGATGTATCTACACAGTGTTGTTGAGAATGCACCAGAACAGGATCCCTATCCTCATGCAATCCTTGATAGCACAAACCCCCTTTTATATTGGTCGTGACAGAGCCAAATGTCTTTGCCCTCAGACAATTAGAGGTGGTGACAAGCGAGGGTCAAAAGCAGAATTGTTTGAATACCTGCTCTGCAACCAACAAGGAATCTTGGAATGTCCTGTGTTTTGCTGTAGTACAATGGAGTAGGACAGGGTCAGATCGGCTACTCGGGCATCCCAGTGGGATAAATTCAGACGATGCAACAATGCAAGTGAATTGTAGAAGCTCCTAAAAACCACCAATACTTTTGGCACAAAAGCCCAAAAATAGAAACCGAAGACAGAAAATGTACTAAATGCAACCTACTGGAGGATGAAATTCGTTAAATCACAAAATGTAAACTTTACACAGATGAAAGAGAGTTGTTATATTCACATTTTTCAAAGAAAATTAACAATTTTCAACACTGTACAAACAAAGAAAAATTCATTCATATATTGAATACAAACAACAAATATTTACTAACAGAGCTTATCAAATTTATAAAAACAGCAAATACCATTAGAGAAAACCACCTAATGGGTCATTAATATTTTTTTACATTATTCCATGTAACTGTATTGTAGTAGATTTTAGATATCTAATTTATGTTTATTTTAACACCTTTATTACATTTCATAAACCAAAATAGATATGTAATTCATTCTACAAGGTTGTAATAAAGAATTATCTTATCTTATTCAATGTCAGTTGATGAAACCTTCGATGACCTGTTTGCTGAAATGGTACAATGTTAACAGTTGAACCACTCTTGAAAGCAGACCATACCTTAAAAGACGCGTCTATGAGCAGACAGTAGATACTATAAATTCATTGATCAAATGACATGGGGATTTAGGTATCAGAACTTAGGTATCAGTCATACATGTGAACGAGATTTACTCAGAAGTGGCGTGTCAGTAAAATTTGTCATTGTTGAACTTGGGTCACATAGCAGTGAACATAGTTTAGATGGTGAATTGGCAGTCATGAAAGCTGGGTTGAAATCTTGTAGTGAATTAAATTCAGCGATGACACAAGCAAATTTGGTTCATCTGCGTGATCCATAGTTTACCCTGACACTAGGGGTCTCAAGTGCCCCTTCAAGTACATGCTGTCTTGCCCTACTTGGTCACCCTCCATATCCGGGGTCTGACCACCAGCAACACAAACAATGTTTTGAAACTATCCCAGAGTTTCGGATCCCAATTAGAGCACACGCACTCACGGCAAAAACCCTGAACGCATTCTAAACAATACTATGTGGAAATTCCTACAAAACAGATGACTCTGGTGATGACTCAGGAAGTGAGGAGCTCTCCTTCGAGTGCTTTCCTTCCTTCTGGTTTTAGTTCAACAAGGCACGCAGAGTGGAACGCAATTACAGTTGAAAGTGAAACTGACAAATGGTCAAATGTGTCATCCGAGTTTTTTTGCATTCGGTACAAAAAGAACACAGGGACCCTAATAAGAAATATTGTATCCTACAAGACCCCACCGTCTTACTGTTACCAACGATCACACTCTGTGCGAAGAAAACGGAGTGAAGAGAAGGCAAGATGGTGCTGATCTCTTTGCCTCGGTCACGTGTTATGTGACGTGGAGGAAAATCCATTAGGTCGGATTTCTCTGGCTGAATCGCAGATTCATGCCTACAGTCATTTTGACTGACCAGAGTGGTTAATTGAACGTAGTGAATTTAAAGATATCAGGAAATGAACAAATCTAAGAGAGGTCTGTCCAAGGTACATATACACCAAGTATCAAAGCAACATCAATTGTAGTTTTCAAGAAGAAGTCGGAAAAGTGAACATTTGACACAAACAACGATGGACAATCACTCCGCTCTGATATACTCTGCTCGACAATGTCAATAGCAGAGCTTAAGATGCCATTCAGATTGTGAAAGTTTGCACACAAGACAGGAAATCGTGACGTGACATACATACATACATACATACATACATACATACATACATACATATGCTAAACAGTTTTTGATAAAATTTATTTGAAACCACAGTATGATAATACAGAGAACATGACTATCATTGAATGCACACAAATGGCTACAATTCGTATTGCCACCTCTCTCGATAAAATTTATGAAACTGTACAATTTAAAGCCAGCGTGGGAGTAGATGCATCAGATTTCATATCTATTAAAGTGTCACATATTGCTTTACCAATGCACAGCACACTAATTAGGAAACGTTATTGAGGCATAGTAGTATGATTACTTCTACTAATGTCATCACATGTACATTCTCATTAGAAGTATAATCTCAAAGGGTGGATGTATGTATCATAACAATAACTGGCACTTTTTTTTATTTTGAAAATGCCAACACTTTTTCTAGAACAGCTTTCCAAACACTTTGCACATTGTTAGTTTCACTAGCCTTCACAAATTTATTTATGTTCCCACAAATTTAAATAAAAGACATTATTATGCAGAACTACCTTTAATTGGTGTAGCAGCTTCATTAAATAGGATAGCTTAGTGAGCAGAGTAGGTGGGGGTAAGAAATGAAAATAAACATGATCACACAGCAAATAGAGGAATAACATCCATGACCGACGAGTGTAATTACCGGTAAATTCATAACGCCCCTCATTGAATTAAACTTGTCAACAAACAGAGATATACATTTAGTTTAAAAGTTGATTGCTTTTCCTGTCCATGCTGCCAAATTCGCTTCACGAAAGGCTTCTGAACATGTCTAGGGAAAGAGCAAAAAATAGTTGTTAATACTAAATATAAATACCATTTATAGAAAGTTCATAAGAAAAATTTGTTTCGGGTTACATTACATGTTAGCAATGATGGTTAGAAACAAAGAATGACAAAATATAAATGTAAAGCGTGTGACAGTATGGATAATGGAGCTATACAAGATGCTAACTCTATAATGAGATTTGCATATCACAACAGGAGCACTGAATTTGACATGTTCCAGAAAAAACATTACCAGCCTACATCATCAATGTGGAATGCCAGAAACAATGTGATGTGAAAAACAATGAAGGGAATCACCCCTACCAGGGTATTATCAAACATATTATTGCTTATCAATACTTTCCAAGCACATGTGTAAAAAGAGCAGTTTCAAATCACAATTCACCCATGAGAATACAAAAAATACAGATAATATGGAAAGCAGTGAGTGGCTGAATATCTGACCAATTATCATTCTGGTATTACTTACTGGATGTGCATGGCATACTCTGGCTATGTCTTCACATGATGCACCATACTCCATAGCCAATGCTGCTTCGTTTATCATTTCACCAGCAACTGAACCAATAATGAAAGCACCTAACATTCTATCTGATGTTTTATCAGAAAGGATCTTTACTAAGCCATCAGTGTCAGCTAGATTACCAAATAAGATAGAAGTGTGTGGTTAGTGGCTTGTACATGGGTACATATATTCAATACATTATTATACACCTGTCACTGTAACGGCATAATAAAAACAAACATGGCTGCCACCAGGGTTTGACCGAACTCCACACAAAGAAGTTCGCTGATTCTGTTCTAAACTTTTTGGATTTCGGCATTCCCATGATGTATCATTGAGAGGAAAAGATGTATAATAATAATGTTAATAAGAGGATATCATAAAGTACATGTATGCACTCAGACAGTATGCTGTCGCATCAACCACCGCTGTGCGTCAGTCGCTACTTGCGATGTACTGTCTTTGTGCTTCATTTGACATGTGAAAAAAACTTCTGATTAAGAGGGCACTCAGTTTCAAGGCTAAATAAAATTTGGATTTCACCTCTCAATCTCTAAATATTTAACTAAAAATAAATTCGGTAGCTGCCCAATTTAAATCATCCATATCAACTAGTGACTACACTGTCTGACGCAGACGACAGTAACATCAAATATGATTAATAAGTTTGATTATCTTACCATTTGTTTTAGCTCTACTATTAGCCATAAAGGGGAATTTCCCAACGTTGTACTGAACACCTTCCTCCTTCAATTGTTCTTCTGTTTTACCAACCCATGCCACTTCAGGGTGTGTGTAAATAACTGAGGGAACACAATTATAATCTATATGTACAGGGGCACCACCAATTCCTTCCACACACAGTATACCTTCGTCTTCAGCTTTGTGGGCAAGCATGGGACCCTGGATGCAGTCACCAATGGCAAAAATACTACAAAAAAATAATATAAACATATATGATTATATCAATTTTTAGCTATCTGTATTGAATTTGGTGTGTCTGTCTGTGTAAGCAAAAACATAAAAACTTGCGAGTAAATTTTATATCAAATTTGGTACATAAGTTCTTTGGTTAGTTTCGGGGCAATGTTCATACATGGCAGAGCTCAAGATGTTAATAATTATTATACATCTGTCACCATAAATTACAGCGTGCCATAATTTGGAATGATTACGCGCATAAGCATCCTCTAACAATAAAAACAAACACGGCTGCCACCAAGGTGGACTTCATACAAAGAAGTTTTCTGATTTTGTTCTAAACATTTTGGATTTCGGCATTCCCATGATGTATCATTGGGAAGAAAAGATGTATAATAAGATTATTACGAGGATACTGCAAAGTATGCACTCAGACAGTACACCGTCACATCAACCTCCCCTGTACGTCAGTTGAAACCTGCTGTACTGTCTTCGTGTCTTGAGGTATCCTCGTAAATAACCTCATATTATTTATACTGTCTGCAGTGTTCATACCAATATTCTCTTTTGTTTAGTAAAAGGATATGCCAATGGCAAACAATATTATAGTCTTACTGTATTTACAGGCATCTTTCTGAGATAAATGAATTGGAATACATCATCCATTCTATCTTGGTAGGGTTCATACTGCCCTCTGGTGTTCATACCAAGATTTTTCTTGTTTTTTTTAAAGCTAATATCAACTTCCTCTACCAGTATTTGTTGGTTTGGTATGTATTCAAATGAAGTCAGATGTTATTGTTCAGCATCAAAAATCACCATCATTTCTTTTTTGTTGCATGTCAAATAGATTCAAACCTTACCAGTATTTGAGGAATTTTCGTGTGATCTGTTAAATTTATCACTATTTTTGGCAAATCAATTACATAATTTTGCAATGAATTTCAGACAAATTGGGGTATTTATTATTTCTTTATTTTAATGAAGAGCAACTGTAATACTGTGTGAAAATTAATTAGAGAGACCTGGTTAACAGTCTGGAGATGGAGAGACTGAAGTTTTAAAATCTGATAGGATTTTAGCTTACACTGTGACAGCATGTATTGAGAACAGAAAACAGTGAGTAGACAAGGGCATACTGTTTGACTCACATCGGTAAGAGAAGAAATTTTTATTATGGAAAGGTGAATTAGTAAGTGATTTGAAAAATTGTTTGGGGAAAGTGATGGCACTATAGTTCAGCTACCCTATCAAATATAGTCCCCTTTCTTATGAAAATGGAGTGACATTTTATGAATAATATTGTTGTCACCTAAAACAAAAAAAAGGATGGTTTACAAATGACTGAAAAGTGATGAACAGAGAAGTGACAGTGTAGACTATTTGAACTGACCTTGGCACAGAGGTTTGGAATCTACCATTTACTGGAATCCTTCCTCTATTATCAGTTTCTATTCCGATTTCCTATAGGGAAAAAAAAACATAACTGACACACACTACATATATAATGGATTCCAGAGCTCTTTTACTAAATGTAAATGACTTAAACTTGATAACAATTTGATATCATTTATGATTAGGGAACTTGAATTGATGATTGTTGCTTCAAACAATGTTACAATTTGAAGGGATCAATTATGTTGACTTTATCATATCATCATCATAAAGCCCAGACAAGAACACAATAACAATTATTAACGATGATGACAATGACAACAGAAATGTTTCCCTTAATATACCTTTTCCTTCTATCTATGATGTTACAGGCAAGGTCAAAAATAGAATGGCGCTTACCTCCAATCCTAATGTCTCTGTGTATGGTCGTCTACCAATACATACGAGCAACACATCACACTCTAGTTCATCTTTCTTACTGGAATCTTTCACTGACTCTACGCTAACTTTCACTTTTCCATCAGGTGTCTTACTTGCTGCAGTCACTTTGGTGTTCAGCTTGAATTTCATTTTCTGTTTCTCCAAAATTCGCTTAAAGTTTTTACTGTGAGATAAAATCAAGATCAGTTAGTCAACAAAACAGACTAATGAATCTTAGGGTAGTGAAAGAGTTTTGGTCTTTATATACAATGTATAGCCATCAATGTTTGAGTCAATGAAACATAAAATAACACAAGTCATGTCTAGTGGTACCAGTGAAGCGTTATCCACAATGGAATAGATTTTTATGCAATAAATCACACATGGGAAGGGGTTATATTAGGACAAACTTTGCTACATCAGGAGATATAATGCAAACAAAAAACTGTAATAATTTTAATCACAGCTCACCGGAATAGCAAGAACTCTTTTGTTGAGTTCAACAACACCCCATTTATTGAGGATGAATCATAAATGTGACAGGGAGGACTAACCTTATTTCCATATCTATACCCAAGCCGCCAACGTGTCCAAGAAACTCTACTGCTGTAACTTGTGAACCCAGGCGTGACCACACCGAGCCCTGAAAAACAAAGACAAGTACAGAACTATTAAAAATATGTGAGGGCCTTTTATTAAATATTATCATCTGTAATTGTGTTTTATCACTGTAGCTTTTGCATATTAGTCAAGAAAAAAAAAATATGCATATGGACAGGTACTGGACAGGCATATTACCGACAGGTCAGGTACAGGTATATTACCGACCAAATATGAACAGAGGTCATTTGACGTTATTGGGAGAGGAGAGGAGAGGACATCTTCTTCTTGTGTAAGAACACCTATATTGACCAGGTATAATTTGAATTATAAGTCAATGTATATAAAGTCTTTTTTTCCTCACACAAAATCTAGTTATACTTTGATGACTGGAGTCAACAAGAAAATACCTAGAATGTTTATAAATTGTACATGATAGTTGAGGAATGTAACAAGCAGCCTCTCGGCTGAGACAGCTCCGCTGTTAGCAATGCACATTTCAATTAAAAAACAGAAGATATCATTAGAAAATGAACAATATGCATAGTATCAATGCTATGGGACTTGCTGTTTTCAACAAGGATTCAAAAATATCATTTTTCACCATAAATGATTGTGGTTTTTAACGAGAAGTTTAAAACATCACTTTTTACCAAAAATGACAAAAATATTCACCAAAATTAGAGAATTGAAGATATCATTACAAAATGAACAAATCTGAGAGCGGTCCACATGTAGTACCTATATATGTAATATCAAAGCAAATGGACTTGCGGTTTTTAACAAGAAGTTTAAAATATCGCTTTTTACCAAAAATGACAAAAATATTCACCAAAATTAGAGAATTGAAGATATCATTACAAAATGAACAAATCTGAGAGAGGTCCACATGTAGTACCTATATATGTAATATCAAAGCAAATGGACTTGCGGTTTTTAACAAGAAGTTTAAAATATCACTTTTTACTAAAAATGACAAAAATATTCACCAAAATTAGAGA